GCCACCCACCCAGCACCCGCTTCCCCGCACACCGCCTGCACCCACACGGTCACACTGCCACCCACCCAGCACCTGCTTCCCTGCACACCGCCTGCACCCACACGGTCACACCGCCACCCACCCAGCACCCGCTTCCCTGCACACCGCCTGCACCCGCACTGCCACCCACCCAGCACCTGCTTCCCTCCACACTGGGGACACGAGGTACCAAGAGGGATCATGAGACTCAGACACAGAGGGGAAGTCTACCTTGGGGACTTGTCCCTGCATCCCTAAAGTCCTATGCCTGTGCCTCAACTACCCTCATGCTGCCCTGATGACCCTACAATGACTCCTAAGCCAGGCCTCTTTTTCTCCCAAATTAACTGTTCACCTCCATCGACATTTCCCCCAGGAACCAACATTCCCCAACCTGAAAGCTATGAACCCAGGCTCCCCATGACTCCACCTCTTCTGTATTATCCCCATCTGCCAAGAGTCTGTGTCCAGCCTCACCTTCTACCGTTTTCACTATGAAATCAACAGGCACACTTCATGTTCTTACCCTACACAGTCCCCAGAGTAGTTTCTGATCCCATTCCCCCCACTCCACTCCTCTGTCCCCGTGTTGTCAATACACCTACCTTCTCCTCAAACCCCCATTCTTTTTACCCTTCACTGCTACAAGGACTGAGAAATCAGATTCATGAGTGACAAAGGACCTGCTCCCCACTTTGTTCTATTATAGGGAAGGCCATCACATATATGTTGTTGTTGTTAGGTGCCGTCAAGTGGCTCCAACTCATAGCGACCCTGTGTCCAACAGAAAGAAACACTGCCCGGTCCTGTGCCAGCCTCACAATCCCTGCTACACCCGAGCCCATTGTGGCAGCCACCGTGTCAATCCATCTCAGCATGCTTCTTTCTAAAAAATCTTTTTCTATCTTTGATTATTTCTTCAAGATAAATTCCTAGTAGGCAAAAGGGAATATATAAGCTTGGAAGATGATATTCCTACATGCGTACATGTATGTGCTATAAGAATTCCATAGATATATAAATCTAATGAGGCACAGTTATGGTAAGTGACCACCAAACACCTTGAGGGAGGGAGTTGCTGGGCCCACGGGCTCAGGACCATGGTTGCAGGGGACATCAAGCTCAACTGACATAACATATACACAAAAACACTGTTGTACATCCTATGAGTACATGATAAGTAGCAACTGGGGTCTTAAAAGCTTGTGAGCAGCCATCTAAGATGCAACAACTGATCTCCCTTTGTCTGGAACAAAGAAGAATGAAGAAAATCAAAGACACAAGGAAACAATTAGCCCCAGGGACTAATGGAGTATGGGAAGTTCAGCCTACGTGACCCTGAGACTAGAAGAACTAGATGGTGCCTAGCTACCACTGTCAACTACTTGGAAGGTATCAAAGTAAGAGATCCTGGAATAGAGTATGTGGGAGAAAAGTGTGGAAAACTCAAAATCATAAAAAAGATCAGGCTTCCTGGTCTGATAGAGACTGGTGAAACCCCTAAGATTATGGCCCCTAGTCACCCTTTGGGCCTGGAATTGAACTCACTCTCGTGGTTTCCAGCCAAATAATAGACATATAGGGTGAACATTTACACAGGCAGCTACACTCCTTAGAACAATCAACCATGGCAGGACCAGAAGGGCAGCATTTGTGCAGGGAGAAAGCTCAGAGGGCAGGAATGCGTAGGAAAGAAGGACACAGGGAAAAGGTAGGGAGGAAGTGGGAAGAGAGCTGTTACACTCTGGGGACTGCAATCAATGTGACAAAACACAATGTGCATGAACTGCTG